TATTATTATTATTACTAATACTACTACTGACGAAATCACACAGCCATAGCCATAGCCTAACTATCACTATGACCACTAAATGGGCGGAGCCAACACCTAAATTGGGCGCGATCACCAAATGGGCGGAGCCAACACCTAAAGTGGGCGTGTCCTAACGCTTACCACATCGCACCGCGCCGCGACGCGTCGCGTTTAAAACATTAACCCAAACAACAATAAAAATAAACAACAAAACAACAAAACAATAAAAATAAACAACAACAAAATAACAAACAAACAATAAAACAACAACAATATATAATCAAAACCACCCACTTTCCCAAAAAACCACTCAAGAACATTTTCGCCATACTCTGCGCCTGTCTGAAGGACTCTTTCACGACCGTGTCCGGATTATTTATACTATTACTATTACTATTTATCTCCTCTCCATTCCCACCCTCCCGCTCGGTTCCGTGTTGACTCTCTTCGGTACGTCGACGCCTCGGTATCTGCAATATTTTACCATATTTATTATTATTATTATTAATAAACATTATTATTATTTATTAAAACATTATACATTAAAACATTAATAAACATTATATAAATCCAGGTAATCCAGGTAATTATTAATAAACAATAACAATAATAAATAATAATAAACTAAAACAATAACTAAAATAATAAAAATAATAACAAAAATAACCACCTTCACCACCGACTGCACCAACTGCATTACCAACACCGTCAGATTACCGACCCACTCCTCTGCGCTCATTCGATAACTATTCTTCGCATTCTTCGTTGACGGAAGTCGATGCAACGAATTTAATAAATCCTTTAAATATTATTATTATATTTTATTATTTAATTATTATTATTATTCAATATATATTATATATAACAAATAATAATAAATAACATTAATAAATAAAAACAACCCACCTGAATAATCGTCGTTCTGAACTCCTCATACCTCGCGCAAATCGCCGACAACAACTTAATCGCCTGCAACTGCAACTCCCCGGTGTTATCCACGAAGAACGGACCGCACCCCACCGTACACAAATGTAACACTGCCGTATCTGTCAACGGCTGTGTCCGCACCTACACACATATACATTAATAATATACAATTATTAATAAATATACAATAAAAATATACATACAAAATAATAAATAATATAAAAAATATACATACACAATAATAAATAATATAAAAATACACATACCAACTCCGCAAAACACCCCACCAGCTCAGTGATACGCGCGTAAACCTTCTGCAATGTCAACGCTCTGGCTTGACTATGCGCTTTTCGACGCTTTTTGTCATCTTAAAAACATTTTGTCATTTTGTCAAACTCTTATTTTGTCACATAAAATATCATTTTGTCATTTTTGTCATCATAATAATGTCCAGTAATAAAAACAATAACAATAAAAACAATAACAAATCTAAAATAATAAAACTGCACCCACCAGCCTTCCTTGCCTTCGATGGTGACCTGCATAAGACATCCGCCGATGGATACACAATATGCTGCAGAAACTGCTTACACAATTGTATCGAACGATCGATAGTATCTTCAATGTATACCTACAATATACTCTATTACTATATATCTATTACTATTACTATATATCTATACTATTATTACTATTACTATATATCTACACTATTATTACTACTATTAACATTTTACCATAAAACCACCAAATTACTATTATACAATAACAAAACCACATCATACACCCTCAATACATCCTAACACAAAACTCCCGCAGCTCTGCCCCAGCTGGGGTCCGAACCTGCGAGCCCTGCCTGCCACCCGTCTAACCATTGGCCGAGCCACTAACCGACTGCGCCAATTTTCTTAGCGCAGTCGGTTAGCGTCTCTGTTCACGCACAGACCCCCCGCTACCACCGGGCAAGATCGATCCCCACCTCATCAAATTCATTTTTTCTTTCGCGTAAAGTGGCAAATATCGCAAAATAACACTAAAATAACAATATCAAAACACAAAAATAACACTAAAAACAACAAACACAAAAACAAACAACCATAAAAATCCCAACCAAACCCCATCCCCTCACCTGTTTCGGCATTTTCGTCGATGTCATAATAATAATGGCNTTAATTTTATACATTATTAATATACATTAACATTTATTATTATTATTAATAAATAATTATAAACAATAATAATAAATAATAATAAACAATAACAATAAATAATAACCTCATCAAAAAACGGTATTAAGGGCTGTCCTCCTTCGACTGCGATTACATCTCTTATATTCTTCTCTAGTATCGTCAATAATTTCACCAAACGATCCGGATTTACCTTTAATTACATTAATTAACAATAATAAATAACAACAAATAACAATAATAAATAATAATAATAAATAACAATAATAAATAATAATAAATAATAACAATAATAAATAACCTTATTAATCCGCTTCCAAGACTTCAATTTCTGTGCCTCTCGCCTCAACTCTTCCAGCTGATGCTTGTCAATTAATAAATCTTGAGGTATCTCCGACTCTTCGTCTAAATTAACAATAATAATAAATAATAATAAATAACAACAACAATAAATAATAATTATTATTACAATATATAATAATAAATATAAATAAATAATAATAAACACAATAACAATAATAAATATAAATAATAATAAATAACCCTCAGCCCCGCCCACGATATCCAAATCCTCCACGTTATCAAATATTTGGTCGATTATACTCGTGAATTTCGCATACGATTCCTTCTCGGCCATCACTAATTAATTAATTAATTAATTAACAATAAAAAACAATAACAATATACAATAATAAATAATAACAATATACAATAATAATAATAATAATAAATAATAAATAACAAAAATACCCTCATTATTCCAGCAATCCGACTCCGAATCATTCAGTCTCCTCTTATGCTTCTCTTGTCTTTTTCTCTGCCTCTCTCGCCATTCACTCTCTCTCTGTTGAATCACTTAAAAATACT